ATGGCCACGAACGGGACCACTTTTCCTCGGTCTGTCGGCATGCCGCGGGCACTGAAGAGCGGCGCCGGCAGACGCCTAGTTCCGAGCGCAGCCACCAGGGACAGGACTGGCGCTTCCGTAGCGCGAGCAGCAGCCGCCAGGGGAGGGGCCGGCGCCACCGTAGCGCAATCAGCCGCCGCCGTGTCAGCACGGCTGCCGACGCGTCGCACCGGCAGGTTTCGGTGCTGGCAGCGAATGCAACCACGAGAGACACGGGGAACCGGCAGCAGTCAGCGCCGCCGGCAGCCCGGACGCCGGGCGCGCGCCTCAACAGTGTGACGGCCCACCGGTCGCCGCAGGTCCGGCTACAGCTGCACCTGCCAAACGGAGTCAGGCGGACGACCGTATGGACGCCCGACACAGGCGCCGAGATATCAGCCCTCTCACTGCAACAAGCCGAGTCCATGGGAGTGAGCAGAGCGGACCTCACGCCCTCCACGGCTGTGCTGTGGGCCGCCGACAGCCGCCGGCTGGACTGTGTGGGCACGTGCGCCCTCACCCTGCAGCTCGGTGACGTCATACAGACCGTGCAGGTGTCCGTTCTGCGAGCACTGCACTCACCACTGCTGTCGTGGCACGATTGTATCGGCCTGGGAATTCTACCGGCGAGCTTTCCCCGGCAGATTTGCCAGCGCGGCTCGGCAGCCGAGACTAGGACGGACGGTGGGGCACCGGAGCCGCCGCCGCCCGGCGAGCCGCCTGAGGCCCCCGCCGCCGGCAGACAGCCCGCACTACCGCGCTGCAGCGGCACGACGGCGGCACCTGAGGAGACCCGGGACATAAGCCGCGTCTCTGCCGCCGACCGGCCGGCCGCCAGCTCGGCCGGCGCCGACCCGACCGGGCGGGCGCCGCCGCCCGGCCGCCGGTGGCACCCCCTCCGCACGGCAGCGGCGGGCAGATTTCGACAAATTGAAAGCCGAGTTCCCGAGGGTCTTCGATACGGAGTCGACCCTGCGGAAGATGACGGGGGAGCCGATGAAGATCGAGCTGACGGACGACGCCGTCCCTCACGCTGTGACCACCGCCCGGAATATCCCGTTCTGTTGGCGAGAGGACGTGCGACTGCAACTCGACGAGCTGATGGAAAAGGACATCATCGAGCCGGTGGAGCACCCCACAGACTGGTGTCATCCGATCGTTCCTGTGGCCAAGGGGTCGTCAGACGGCACAGTGTCCGGCTGTCGGCTGACCGTGGACTTCACGAAACTGAACCGGTTCGTGAAGCGACCGACGTACCCGGTCCGCTCGCCTCAAGACGCACTCGCCTTCGTCTCACCCGGCGCTGCGTACTTCACCAAGCTGGACAGCAAGGCGGGGTACCACCAGGTCCCCATCCGGCCAGAAGACAGAGACGAGACCTGACGTGTTTTATCACGCCGTGGGGCCGCTACCGGTACCTGAGGGCTCCAATGGGAATCGTCAGCTCTGGCGACGTGTACAACCAGCGCGGTGACGCCGCGCTCGGCGACATCCCGCGCACGTGTAAGGTCGTGGACGACGTCCTGGCCTATGACGCTGACTACGCCGCCCACCTGCAGCACGTGCGGCAGATTCTGCTAAGGTGTGACCAGCACGGTATCACACTCAACAGTCAACCCGGACAAATGTCAGTTCGCGGAAGACGAGGTCGAATTCTGCGGCTTTCGCATCAATTCGGCTGGCTATACCGCCGACGGCAAGAAAGTCCGTGCCATCCAGGCCTTCCCCAGGCCGGGCAACATCACCGACCTACGGTCGTTCCTCGGCCTGGTGACCCAGCTCGGCGCCTTCTCCCCAGAGGTCGCCGCCGCCGCCTAGCCGCTGAGACAGCTGCTGCGGCCGCGGAACGCGTGGCTGTGGACGCCAGCGCACGAGCAGGCGTTCAGCGCGGTGAAGATGGCACTCACGTCGCCTCCCGTGCTCGACTTCTTCGACCCTCGCCGCCGCACAGTCCTTGAGACTGACGCCGCTCGCTCCGGCGGCCTGGGCTACTGCCTGCTGCAGCAAGACGCCGCAGGCCGGTGGCGACTGATCCAGTGCGGCTCACGCTTCCTATCGGACGCCGAGTCGCGGTACGCCGTGATCGAGTTGGAGCTGCTGGCCCTGGCCTGGGCCTGCAAGAAATGCAGCATCTATCTCGGCGGGATGCAGCGGTTTGAAGTCCTGACCGATCACCGGCCGCTCATCCCGATCCTCAACAGTAAGAGCCTTGCGGAGATCGAAAATCCGCGGCTCCAGCGGCTACGAGAACGGCTGGCGCCGTTCAACCTGCTCGCCATCTGGCGGCAAGGCAAGCTGCACGCCATCCCGGACGCGCTGTCGCGCGCGCCGGTGGATGACCCGGCGCCTGAGGACGAGGAAGCCGAGAGGGACGCCAGCCATCAGCTCGCCAGCGTGCTCTCACGGCTGGCCACCGACGGGGCGGACGACGGTCCCAGCCCGTTCAAAGACGCGGCGCTGACAGAGGTGCGCGCCGCCGCCGCCGCCGATCCGGAGCTCATCGCAGTCACTGACCTGATCCTGAACGGGTTTCCAGAGCACCGGTCACAGCTGGACCCGCGCCTCCGACCGTACTGGGGAGTTCGGGACCGGCTGGCCGTGGACGACGGCCTGGTGGTGTGCGGCCAGCGGCTCGTGATACCGCCCAGTCTGCGGCGCGCCACGCTCGAGCGCCTGCACGCCAGTCACCAGGGCGTCGAGCGCACCAAACGCCGCGCGCGGCAGGTAGTCTACTGGCCGTTCCTGGACAGTGACATTGCGAACCATGTCGGAGCGTGCCCGGCCTGCCAGCAGTACCTGCCCAGTCAGCAGAAGGAGCCGCTGATGCCGGAAAAGACGCCATCACGAGTGCTTGAGGCTGTCTCCGCTGACTACTTCGCCTGGGCCGGCCGCACGTTCCTGGTATACGCGGACCGGCTGTCCGGGTGGCCGTTTGTGTCGCACGTGGCCGGCGAGGCGACTGCCAGAGACCTGGTCTGCAGCCTGCGCCAGATATTCGCGGCCACCGGCGTGCCCACCACCCTCCGGACAGACGGTGGACACCAGTTCACCGCCCGGCTCACCCGAGAGTTTCTGCGCCGCTGGGGAGTGGAGCACCAGATCTCTACACCGCACTACCCTCAGTCTAATGGGCACGCCGAGTCGGCGGTCAAGGCCGCCAAACGGCTCATCCAGAAGGCGACCAGCAGCGGCGAGCTCGACACGGACGCCTACGCGCAGGGGCTGCTGGAGCTGCGCAACACGCCGCGCGCCGACGGCCGCTCTCCGGCTCAGGTCCTGTTCGGCCACCCGCTGAGATCGGCAGTGCCGGCGCACCACCGGGCCTTCGCCGACTGCTGGCAGCGGGCGGCGGACGACTGTGACGCCAGGGCCGCCGCGCAGCAACAGGAAACAGCCGAGCGGTACGACACGACAGCCCGCCAGCACAGCGCGCTCACCATGGGTCAGCGTGTGCTCGTCCAAGACCCGCGGTCGGGGCTGTGGGACCGCGTCGGCGTCATCACGGCGGTCGGACAGCGGCGCGACTACCTGGTCCGGCTGCCCAGTGGCCGAGTCTACTGGCGGAACCAGCGCTATCTGCGACCCCAGAGATCTCTCATCTCGGAGGGCGCCGCCACACCTGCACCCGGGCGCCGGCAGCAGCTCGCTCCGAGCTCGGCACCCGACGGCACGGAGGAGACCGCCGCCGCTGCGCCGGCGGGCGGACAGCCGGCACCACCGGTGCTGCGGAACAGCGCCGACGACCCCAGCTCAGTGCGCCGTGGGACGCGCCGCCGTCGCCGTCCGGCCCGACTGACCGTGCGCAGGGCGGACCAGACGTACGACTGAGTTCGTGCGTCCACACCGTGTGTGGTGTACATTTTTGTTTATGTGTTAGACGCAATGCGTATCTTGTACCGACGCATGCGTCTTGAGGGGGGGGGATGTTGTGATGGGGCACGTTTTCCTTTCCCTTCATTTGGTCTCACCCCCCGGTCATATGGAAGCACATAAAAAATAAACAGTTCCATGGTCGCCGCCATCGTGTTTCGGTCGTCCTGTGTCGCTCCAAGGATATCGCCGTGTTAATCGCCACTACCGACCATAACAGAACTGACGCATCGGCGGAAGCGGGAGTCCGCAGCGGAGAAGCCTTCGTGGAGTGTACACGGGTGTGGGAAATGAATGCTAAGTGTATCCAAATTGAAGGCACTGCTCTCGAATGATATAAATACTGAACAGCTTTGGATTGTTTATATTCCAAATGTTTACTTTCAGGACGAGTACTCCTTGTCATTCGGTCGTCAACTCCTCTCTCCGACCCCGGCTTAGCGCAGGCACGTATAACCTAGAATTTGGCCGAGGGGGGGGGGGGGAGCGGAGGAATCCCGTAGAGAGAGCCTCCTACCTACAGAGGGCCCTCTACCCGAGGAGTCAGAGGGGTCCAGGGTCCTAGTGGTCAGACACAGACACTAGCGGTTATTCACAGGAGGCCCCACGCAGTAAATTGAAGGGCCCTAGGTGGCAGGCGAGTCGGAGAGCCTTGATTGTCCTGAGTCCTGACGTGATTTTTTGGGGGATTCCCATGAATTTCGTTCGTCTCCGACGTGATTTTGGCCAACGTTGGCCTTCTGCCAGCATGGGCCCTGAAAACCCCTAGGGGGGAGGCGCACCCCGTCCGTCCCCCCTTGGGTACGTCCCCGGTCGGTCCAGCGGCTCCACACGCGCCTACCGACACGCAAGAAACTCTTGCCATTATGTTTGCTTCTGACGCAATCATGACAGAATGACGCTCTTTTGATATGCATGCTGCCATTGCTTTGGAGTCGGTCTTTTGAATTTCTGCGTTTTTTGGATCGGCTCCACTCTCCAGACAGTTGGCTCAGCGGTCAGCCTGATCGACCAGAGCAATGCGACACCTATACCAACTTGATACCAACCTTCTTGGCGGGGTGGTCAATTCATGAAGTGCGAATGCAAAACATGGCAATAGATGGCGGAACGAACAGCATGGGGATTAGGCTGGGACAGGCATTGAGGAATGAAATCCGTCACTTCCCAGATTTCGAACGCATCCTTAGAGTGCATTACTTTTATGTGCTTGCGTTCGGTCTTGGGATTTCTCAGCAGATGTCGCCAACAGTAGAGAGATTGATCTAGAATGTCTCGTTATCGGAAAAGTATGGTAGCCATACACCAAATGGTTTTTGCGTTTAGCTACCATATTACTTCCGATATGACTGTTGACATCACTGCCGATATGACGGAGCAGTGCATTGGCAATATGCCAAGGGCAGTAACATGCCGTCAGTCACGTCAGTCATCGGTCTTGGCTATCTGTAAGGATCTTGGCAGGAATCTTGGCCTTTTCTTGGACCCATAGCCTCGGCCTTCGACCAATCATATCGCCGAATTCGCAAGCGGTGAGAGACAAATACGGCGTGCCAAAGACATATTGGGTGTCTCAAAATCACTGAGAACTCTGTAGCTCAAAACTTAAGCCCTGCACTCTTTTAGATCTACCCCGTCACCGTTGAGTGGCATTCTTGTGAAAATTATGTAAAGATATTTATCAGAATAAGGTAGAAGTGTAGGGGGTGGCAGGTGAGGTGCAGAAGAAGAAGAAGAAGAAGTTGTACCTATCCAGTAATTTTATCTTGATTTGTGGACTAGACGAAGACTAGATTTTGATGAAGAAATCGACAAACTTGAACTGCAGGTAAGGTGTTGGTTTGTCATGCCGATTGTCTTGAAACCCTTTCCCATAGGCGCGAGAGCCGGGGGGGGGGGGCAGTGGGGGCAGCTTGCCCCCCCAACTCTGGGGCCGTGGGGGCGGTGCCCCCACATCTTTGAGACGGAATACCACACTTTTTTGCAAATGTTTTCTTTTTTTGTTGAAAAAGCAGAGGGGTGAAAAATAAGTGGCCTAAAACCGGTGAGAAAACTAGATTTGGGGGTACCCTAGGTTGATCTCTATTATGGTGTGCCCCCCCAGTCGGAAAGTAGTTCCCGCGCCCCTGCCCTTTCCTTTTAATCTTTCAATTAAAATCATCAACTCCTATCCAAACCACCAAAGAGCCGACATCTCACTCAGTCCAAATTTTCGTTCAGAGGCCAGTTTTACTTTACCCGATTTACCAACAAAAATAGCTGCCTGGAATTTTTCTCCTCATATATCCATTCCACGTAGGTACAACATACAGAGGGTAAACGCGATAGGCATGTAAGCAGTGAGGGCTTCACCATTTACCTACACTCCATATGTGAATTAGCCTTTAGGCAAAATAATCCGGCAGGTGGCTATTTTCTGTTTGTAAAACTGGCCTCAGACGGAGTGCTATCATTTGATTTACCATCACACGATCAGGCAGCAACAAAGTTTGTGGTTTTAGAATCTTGAAAAACTTTCTTGGGAGTGGCACTTGGTAGACATCCGTTTGAGATTCTGCTAGAGCAATAGCATCGCGCTCAAGCCAGCCAAATTTTAGACTGCCAACACAAGAAAAAAAATGTTTGGTTAATCAGATTTCAGGCTTCAAAATATTAGGTAAAGCATCAATAGGCATTTAATTCAATTCTGGTGGTAAAAATCATGACCATATGTTGGCATGACATCAATTTTTAATTTTTTGTGGTACAACTTGTATATTAAGGCTTGAAGATGCTCAAATAGATGATATTTTTGATGCGTGTGTTGATGAAGACTGAAGTCCAATGAAAATAAAAAGCAGAAATTATCCTGACCTTACCATCCCTACTAACCTTCAACCTCCAACCTATCAGCCTACAAACCACCGTTCAGACTTTATCTACACGCAGGTTTAACATTTTATGATAAAGTAAAAAATTCTCAGCTTGTAATCCAATGTCTTTCAAAACCAATTGGCCTTTTTGGCCTTGCGAATGGTAAACGGAGAGAGAGGGAGAGAGTTGCCTAACTCTATCATGTAAAAACTGTTTTTAGAAAATAGCACTGTGTTTTATCCTGGCTTCATGACTCTCTAACGCTCCTTGAAACCGCTTGTTTTCTGACAATTGGTGATACAGAGAGGGTCTGCATTAATGTCCAAGTATGGTCATTTAGGATCAATTTTTGGTGCCCTCGTTTTATATTATTCCATCAGCCTTAGTTTGCCCAACTGACATGCGCTGAATTTGTCGCATGTGACGTTACACCTGACGTGCGCCGAAATTTTAGGTGGAACCCTGGTACTACGCCAAACATAAGTTATAGCATGATCACTGCTCAGTTGCGCAGGTTCACCAGAACAGCTTCATGGGTGCAAAATGACCACCGCAGCGCCCGTAAACCCTAATAAACAAACAAACAAGCAAACATCAGTTGCGCAGTTAATGCCAATTTTTTACAGTTTTGATTGTCTATTGATATTGTTTGGTCTTTTCAGGACTCGTGGCGCTGCTCGCCTCCTCGCCAATGCGAATGCGTTCTCTGAGGACAACCCGCCCAAGGCTACCATGGCGAAGCCACGCCACCGCGCCGGCTATAGACTCACGGCCTGAAGCGAGTTTGGGCGCGACGGCTGGCGAGCCAAGGCGGCGGAAAGTCGTCTGGCGGAGCTCCCGTCTGAGGCGAGCTTGATCTGGTCAGACAGCTCCGCCACCGATGGTGTGCTAGATGGAGGAGGAGGGGCCACCCCCCCCCCCCCTCGAACCGCGACATCCGAGAGGTGCGTGTCGCGGCAGGCGCCCTCTGCTCTAGCACGCGCGGCGAGCTATTCGCCCCGCTGATGGAGGGGCGTCCCCCGCCGCCGGTTCGTGGACCCAACAGGCTGGACGCAGTGGAGACCCACCAACTACGAGCAGGACACTGGTCCGGATCAGCCCAGTACCTGCACAGAATCGGGCGGCACCCATCGCCGGAGTGCGGCCAGTGCAGTGATCGGGGATGCCGGGCAGGATGGTGCCGCGCCTGCGGCGAAGAGGCCGACACCCCGGACCATGTCCTTCTGCGGTGCCCGGCGCTGATGAACGCCCGGCTCCGCATCTTCGGCACCATCTTCCCGAGCCTGAGCGACGTGCGACGGGACGACGCGGTGGCGGCCCTGGCGAGGGTCGCCAGGTACCTCCAGAGCCGTTAGGCTACAGCTCACCAGAGCCTGGAGGGACAGCACAACAACAACAACAGCTATTCGCCCTAAGAGCGGTGTTGGAGGAGCTGGCCGGACGGATGGTACCGGTCGATATGGGTCGACCGCCGTCTATCCGGTCCATTCTGCTGTTCCAGCTCCAGGACCGGCCGCGCCGTCGCCACCCGTCCGGCGTCAGTGGAGGACCGCTCATCAGCTGTCGATTTTCATCAGTTTCGCTTGGACCACTGGTCGGGCTCCTGCCAGTGCCGACATTGGGTTGGGCGGAGTCCTACCGATGAATGCCGCGAGTGCTGCAACATTGGCTCGGTACATCTCGGTACATTTTCCCGAGTCTGGTGTGGCTACGGGGAGACGGATTTGGTGACCCTGGCTGCCGCCGTGAGAACCATCCAGAACCGTACGGCTATGCTGCGACAGCAGCTGAAAGGAACGCAACAACAATAACTACAACAGCAGCTGCTAATGAAAGGGGAAATCATGGAGCCGGATGACCCGGCACATGGCGCTCAGCCAGCTGAGAATGAGAGCAGCTATCAAATCGCCAGCAGGGTGCTGCGGCTGGTAACTGACGACCTTAACAGAGAGAGCGCCTCCGCTGATGCGGATGAAACTACCCCCTCTCGGGTTTGTTTGACGCCGTCTCCGTCGACTCTTTCGCCTGGGCCGGCTGGCGACCGCGACATTTCTTGTGCAGTGACTCGTAACTATGTTCACCAAACTTTTAAAACTCCTCACGTTAGCATCTTTAAAGAATGTTTCCCTTGTACACTGCTGCAATGTCTTATGTAGGCATATTGTAGGTACAGTCTAAACGAGTGTGGAATGCTTTGTTGTGCTTGCTTGTTCTGTATTTCGTTTGCTATTTATCACGGTGACTATAATTTATTTTGACCAACCCTTGCCTTGTTGCAATTTTAGTGGATGGTTTCTGAACTGCTGTTTGCATTATAGATGTTGCTAGTGCGTAGACGCCAAAGATTACTTTATACCTATTGACGCGCCAGATAAAGGAGGTGAAGTATTCCTCTGATCTCTACCTACGAAATTCCTTTATGTGTTTTTTGTAATCGATATTGGCGGTTTTCTTATGTGATGCGGTGTAGAGCGTGGCTGAGGAAGGCGATGTTTAAAGTTGCTAGTTATTTTTCAATACATCTATGATCGGACTGTCGTGCTTGCTGTAGGTCGGACTTCCGTTCTTGATGGTGATTGGACGCACGTGCCGGTAGTTCACAACAATGCGGCTTTCGATTATAGTATAGATTTAGATGCTTTTAAAGTGTTTGTATACGTAGTCCTGAGTTTCGAGATATTATCCTTGCGGGCTCCTTGCCAACAGATTGTCCACTTCTGTGTCCAGTACTCATCCCACTCACGAGGCTCAGTTGTGTTTGCCAACCCCTATACGGAAACATTGGCCAGATAACTGACTACTACTGAAATTTTAAGAAGCGTGGGCAGTAGGGCATAACGAACGGTCATCAGGTTCAGTAGCCGCGGAGCACCTTCAATTAAGGGGGGGGGGGGGCACCGCCGACTTTTGGTCCCATTCTTTCCATGCAGCGCCCATAGGGCTAATGTTAAAATGCCAAAATCAAAGGGGGGCACGGTGCCCCGGTGCCCTCCCCATTCCGCCGCCTATGCTCAGGTTATTTCTGACCTGACAGGCTCAGGGAGGATTGCTCTTTGTTGTTTTTCTCCGATGAACCCTCTTGCTGCACACTGGCTGATCCAAAGGATGGAAGGGACGGGGGGGGTGCAGACGTAAGAAAAAAGAAGACAATGTTCTTTCCCTAGCGCACGAAATCAATTCTTAACCCGCGCACCGACGGGGGGGGGCGGATATCCGCCCCCCCCCCTGAGGTTTTTCGCGAATAGCGGGAAAACCGCGGCGCGTAGCGCCGCGAAATTTGGTATGACTATTCCCTTATCAATTTTACACATGGTGTGCAAGTTTGAACCTCCTACCTCTTAAGGTCAGGTCACCAGGTCACTTTGAATGACCCAACCTCAAGTCACTTTTTTGCAACTTTGTCACCGTGCCAGAGCTACAGTAGATGTCGGAGGCCTTTGAAAGTCGCAGGATGTTATTAGGTCATTAGTAGCTACAATTTGTATATCTCGGAATTTTTATATCGGTGACCTAAGGTCAGGTCAATTTCGCGACCTCCCCATTATAAGTCAATGGGGGAAAAATCAACTCCCTGTTTTTACCACTAAAACGGGTCGGAATGGCCCCATATACCATACATGACTTCATATACGATCAACCTTCACTACCTTGAGGTCTGTTTTGCTGTTGGGCAGCTGTGAGGTCATGTGACGTCATCAAAGGTCACCAAAGGTTTTTGGCCAATAACTCCGTACAGGAACAAGATACAGACGCGTGGATGGTCTCATTGTGTTCAGCTCGTCAAGACGCATCGAATGATATACATGATGACCTCGAGGTCACGTGACCTGAGGTCAACCTTTGACCTTGACCTTTCGAGGTCAACATATATATCATTCGATGCGGATTGACGAGAGGATCACGATGATGCCCTTAGTTTGTTCCTATCTTGACTAATTCGAAAGTTATTCGAGAAAAACTCTCCATATTTAGCGCCGCCATTTTGGCTTTTTCGACCCCTGTGACGTCATCTTTGACCTGACCTGAAAATGACCTTAGTAAAAATTGTAGATCTTGACCGTGCGTATCCGATGCCGTTTACCGCTTGTCGCTATCTTGCTTCGTTCTCGAGATCTCAGGGGGGGGGCGGTCATCCGCCCCCCCCCGTCGGTACTAAGTTGACGCAGACCCCCGTCGGTGCGCGGGTTAAATGAAAATAAAACGAATAAGCTTCCGTTAAGAAGCCCCCGTTCCGTATCTTCCGTTCCATTCCACGACTCGCACGTTCCAGTGACTTGCTGCAGAAGCGTCATCTATACCTCGCCCTTACTGCCGGGAAGGCCGCGAGTTGCGACATCTATACTATGTCTAGGCCTGAAGTACCTCTTTAGTGTTCATCCGCCACGATGTATTTATTTTTGTCAATCGGTTTGGTCCTTCTGGCCGGATAGGTCGTCAGAATTATCTGAAGGTGCCTGAAATGTCTCGTTAGTGGAAAAAATGTCTCGTTAGTGGAATTCCACTATCTGGCAACTAGCCCTATGTAAACGCGGCTAGTGTCACAGTTGAGTTGAATCTATGCTCCATGAATAAAGACGGTGACGCAAAGAATGCGCCAGTGGGACCATTGGGAGATAATGGCCTCAGCTTCGGTGAACCACTACAGCTGATGAATTTAAACAATTCCTTGTACTTCTTTGCAGGGCTTTAAGTAGAAATACTTCAGTCACTTACAAGTTACAAGCAGGACGATGCACACTGGTCCAGATTCACGAAGAAGTCGATCAAAAATAATTTTTGAGTGAACTGAGTTCAAATCCACATGAAAAGGATCTATAAGCATAAACATGACCGAATTTCTACATTTTACCTCAGAAACCGAAAATAACGAGTGATTTTAGTTGGCCAGCTTTAACAAACACACACACAAACACACCAACACACTGAATGATTTGTAACAAAACTGTTTATATGTCACATCATAACACACACTGAAAGTTGGCAACTTTATGCCTCCCTCCCCATCATAACACACACTGAAAGCTCATCCCCGCGACCAGCAAGACAACCACCACCACCACCCAGGCTCTACAGCTTCACCGATGGAGCCCGAAGGAGGGCCAGGACCTCTGAAGGAAACTGGTCCGTGGCCGTGGTCGTCGGAGTCTTCAGCTTCCGCATCCGGAGGGGGCTGATCAAGGGGTCGGAAGTCTCAAGAAGCCGGTGGACCAGGTCGGTGTTGGACTGAACCCGGGACATCTGGCGCGAATGGTGCTCCCGGATTGCCTTGAAGTCCTTGTTCCTGGCTTCTTGGGCTTCTTCTGACATCGCCCCCAGGGGAAGGAGCATGCCGGCGGAGACAGTGGGAGCATGGATCAGCAGCTTGTGGACCGACTGGGGCATCCTGAACCACCCATACTGACTGACCAATATCCTGGCCGTCTCAACCGCGTACACGCCGAACCGCTCTTCGTCGAGGTGGAAGTTGGAGGACGCAGCGCGGAGGAGGTAGCTGAAGCGGCGGATCAGGGTGGAATCAAGGCCCAGGATGTCCGCAGACGTTTCGTGCTCCAAGAAGAAGCGGCGGGCCGAGTTGCCGTTGTTGGTCGTTCCAGCTCCGCCAGGAAGGGGCTGGTCGATCAGGAGCCCCAAACGCTGACGAAACTCGGTCTGGATCCGCTGCTTCTGTTCCTTGACGATCCGCTGCTTCTCCTCTCCACG